TCTGGGGAAGTGGAGCCACACTCCCACCCAAGGGACTGGTATGGGCCAGAACTCAGCCAAGACATGCCCCATGCAGCTTAGAAGAAGGTGCGGCTGCCACTGCCATTTCTGGATGCCTCCTCCCAGAGACAGGCAGTGGGCTACTGCAAGGTCCTGGATCCCAGGGTCCCCCTTTTAGAAGTTTTGCCTTCTTGGGGGTCTCCCCTTTGCCCCTCTGAACCACCTGTGCCATCCCAAGAATGAGCCTCTCCCCATCAGAGCTCACATATTAGGCTATGCCTCAGACACAAGACAAGAACCCCACAATGTCATCGATCACAGACAGGTGGTGGGGTTTCCACTCCTGAATCCCTCCACCTTAGCAGAGCAGCCACTCCAGTGTCTGAGCAGGGAAAAGACAAAGAAGTCAGCCTCCCTGGCTTGTCCACTATTAATTAGGAGTTAGACTTAACCACCCAAACTTGTTTTGATACACAGATATGCCAAGGGCTGATTTTTTGTTTTTCTTATGTCACCGTCTGATCCTTGTCTAGCCCTTCAAGACTGAATTCATTGCTCTAAACACCCACACTGCCCAAAACTCTCCACGGTTAAGTATTCTACATACCGTCCAATACACTAGTCATTATCCACGTGTGGATATTGAGCACTTGAAATGTGGCTCGTATGACTGAGAAACTGAATTCTTAATTTTATTTGATTGTAATTAATTTTAATTTAAATAGCAATCCATCTGGCTAATAGCAACTGCAGTGGCAGCGCAGAACTGTCTAGCTTGTTCTTTTAATTCTCAACCTTAATGCAAAAGGAGAATGTTATGTTCTCCTTGGCTCTGAATTACCTCCTATTCCTCACTGAATGATGCTCTGACAGCCTTAACAAAGCAGAAAGCCGGCGCGTCTTCCATTTCCGAGCACTTGCTCTGCGCCTGAGCACAGCCGTCTTGATGTGTCCCGGGAGATGGGGCAGGAAGCACGTCGCCAGAAAGGAAGCCAATGCACCCAACCACCTCGGACTCCAGGGCGTCTGGGGCAGAGAGGAAGGAGGGGAGGGGAAGGGAGGGGTGTGAAAGAAACCCACTCTGGGGGCTGGACGCCAGCCGGGCTGCATTTATTTATATCACAGGGTGTTATAGTTGTCTGCCTTGCAGCTGAAGAACCAGTACACGTCTAAGCAAAGGGGACAGAAATGGGCTTTGTCCACGTTCCCTGGCACCTAGTGCTGTTGCTCAAAGGATGCAAGAAGACCCGGGGCAGAGGGTGTGGGGAGAGAGGTACAGGAGAGGAAGCTAACTCTGGCAGGCAGACACCCTGAGTGGTGCTGGCAAAGAAGAAACTGAGTCATTTGTATGTTTGCACCCAAATGACATCTGTAACACTGTCTGGGATATTCTGGTCCACCTGCCCATGAGGACAACTCTCACTGCCTGGAGCACAGCAACAGAGGGACCATTCAAGCCAAACACTGGGTCTGGGGCTCTGCTCTGGATGTGATGGGACCAGAGAAGCTGTGTTCAAGCCCCAGGGTTTAGAGAAGCAAGGTCACCTCTAGGTCTTGCAGAGATCTAAAACTTTCTGAGCAGTGACAGGTATGCTCAGTTATGGGATTCAAGAACAAGTGTTAGCTCTACTGGCAGAGCACATACACGTGCTTTGTGATGTGCGCCTGGAATCACGTTAACACCACGGACCCTCAGCTCTGCGGCAGAGCCCACCCTGACCCTGGTGCCTGGGCTGTATCCCCGGCCCCTCCAGCACATTCTTCTTGCTCCTCTATCCTATCTGCAACAAATCCTTCTACCTGTAAAACAGGTCAATTGGGTTCAATTAACATGAAGCCAATTTATTAAACCACTAATACTGAACTAAGAAGCTCAGTAGGAATTTCTTAAGAAGACAAACTCCAAATACAAGGCTTAATTAACATTTTCCTTCTTCTCAAAAGTTTCAGTGTCTTTCTTTTCCTTTTCATGTTTGTCACTTACTTCTCACACCCATTTCTGCCTATTTGTGATCTTTTTAATTCCCCTCATAGAGATGGCTAAGCTCTTCAACTGCACGGGATCAGCCCTGCAGCAAATCACTCCAAAACCCCAGGGTCAGAGTTAATGCATTCCTCTAAAGTATACACTTTAACTTCACTGGCACTTTGAAGATGCATAGAAAACGTCTCAAGCCTCCCTCCTCTCTGACCCAGCAATTCCAAGCCCTGGAATTTATTCCAAGGAAATAATTAAGGATGTCCGCAAGGCTTTAGTTACAGGGATGTTTACCCCTGCTGTTGTTTATAATCATGAGTAATTGGAAACAACCTACACGTCCCTCCAGTAGGAGGGGATGCAGACTCCTCAGTTTTGAGGAGTCTGCATCTCTAGTGGCCCAGGGCCCAGGGACTGCCTAGTAGGAAGAGACCAGCAATCAGTCGCTAAGTCACTCAACCAACCCCAGAGCTAAACGTTTAGAGACATTGGGTAGATCCAGATTCCACAGAGCCTGGATCTCGTAAATTTAGGGTGACTACCTTTAATACAAAGTTAGGACTATAAATTTAGGGGATCCCTGGGTGGCTCAGCGGTTTAGCGCCTGCCTTTGGCCCAGGGCGCAATCCTGGAGTCCCGGGATCGAGTCCCGCGTCGGGCTCCCTGCATGGAGCCTGCTTCTCCCTCCTCCTGTGTCTCTGCCTCTCTCTCTCTCTCTCTCTATGTCTATCATAGATAGATAGATAGATAGACAGATAGATAAATAAATCTTTAAAATAAAATAAAATAAATTTAAGCACAGGGTCTTGGTGGGGGCCCATGTGAGTGAGGGGGCTTTGGTAGAAGTTAGTTTCCTTGGCCTCATGGGGAGTCTAGTTTCCAGAGAAAAGAAAGAGAAAGGAGGCGTGGCTGGAAGTCTATTGCTTCAAGAGCCACAGTTGACAAAGTCTGGGCAGCAGAATCAGCTGAGAATAACATTCAAGGTCTAAGACAAAGAATATCGGAGGGAAGGGAGAGGAGAGAAAAGGCTAGGGAGGAAAATGCTGGGAAAAAGCAGCAAGAGGACAGACATCAAGGACATAGCAAAACTATGATAAAGGGACTCCTGGGTTGCTCAGTGGTTGAGCGTCTGCCTGCCTTTCCTCGAGAGCCCCCTGCCCAGAGAAGCCCTTCAATTCCTGACCGCTGGCTCCACATACTTTGTGCCAAGGCCACACAGTCAAGAGCCCAGCGTGGGGTTCTGGGATGCGTTCTCCAACTGCTCCTGTTGCATTCTCTACCAAATCCAAAGCCCACAGTGGACTCTGGACATGCGGGACACGGAAAAGGCCTGCTTGGCTTTAAAAGGGGGATTTGAAAAAATAAATTTAAAAAAGGGGGATTTGGCAATGCAGAAAAAGACAATCTAGCCTTAAACTCAGCAACTGGAGTAAACTGTAGAGAAGGAGATGCAGGACTGGACAAGGGCCACAAAGGACTTTAAAAACTGGTCCTCTTGGAGGCAGTTTTCCTAAACAACATGATTGTGAACACGCTGGCTGGTCACGGAGTCACCCTTTCCCAGGAATGCTCAGACCTACAAACCCACCTTTAAAAAAAGATTTTATTTATTTATTCATGATAGATGCAGAGAGAGAGAGGCAGAGAAAGATACAGGCAGAGGGAGAAGCAGGCTCCATGCAGGGAGCCCGAAGCGGGACTCAATCCCGGACTCCAGGATCACGTCCTGAGCTGAAGGCAGACGCTCAAGTGCTGGGCCACCCAGGTGTCCCCAAACGCACCCTTTTTCAAGATTTTTTTTTCTAGATTTATTTATTTATTTATGATAGACATAGAGAGAGAGAGAGAGGCAGAGACACAGGAGGAGGGAGAAGCAGGCTCCATGCCGGGACCCTGACGCCGGACTCGATCCCGGGACTCCAGGATCGCGCCCTGGGCCAAAGGCAGGCGCCAAACCGCTGAGCCACCCAGGGATCCCCCAAACACACCCTTTTTTTTTTTTTATTTATATATGATAGTCACACAGAGAGAGAGAGAGAGAGAGAGGCAGAGACACAGGCAGAGGGAGAAGCAGGCTCCATGCACCGGGAGCCCGACGTGGGATTCGATCCCAGGTCTCCAGGATCGCGCCCTGGGCCAAAGGCAGGCGCCAAACCGCTGCGCCACCCAGGGATCCCCCAAACGCACCCTTTTTGATCAGCTTCTGTCCAATTCAGAGCAGTGACCGTCTCACAGAGCTGCATGTGGCGAGCACACATTACTGACCTCACCTTCCTAACCTGCATCCCCAAAGGATACTCACACTGGTGCCCACACAATAAAACCAACTCCAGACTTGTCTGTCACCCAGGGCCCGCGGGGCCATGACGTTGAATAGGAGAACTGTCTGTGGTCTAACTCTCTGATGAAGAGGTGACCCTTGTGTGCTGTGGGATTTCCACGTGCCTGGGGAAGGAGTCAAGGAGGAACCAGCCTCGTCTCAGTGCCACTCTGCAGGGGCTGGGCAGTGACGCTCTGCGCCTGTTAGCTGATGGCACTTAATGGAGACAGGTTCCTACCCTTTGGGACGCTCCAGGAGCAAACTAGACTCCTTGACCTCTAGAGAACCACATCCCTCTTCTAAAACCTCAGGTGCTTGTCTCCAGGTCAGATGGCCCATGGGAAAGGAGGCCAGGCTGCCCCAGGAGTCACCCACCAGCCTTGTCACTTAGCGTCCTGGACCACCCTCCTATCCAGCATCCTGGACCCTCGCAGCTTGCTTCCTCGGAGGCCCGTGTAAGGAGGGAGGGGGCCTCTGGACCGCAGGGTGCCCCTCGGGCTTCCAGACACTGGCTTCTGGGGCCCCCCGCCTCCCTACACACGTCCCGGATGGCTGAGCCTCGTCCGGCACCACGCACCAGAGTGGCCTGAAGCGGGGGGGGGGGGGGGTCGCCGGGAGCTCCCCGAGTCTGAGGAGTCTCCGAGCGAGAGCGACGGGGCGAGCTGGGCTCGCGGCGGGACCCCCGGCCGCGGGGCCACTCACCAGCGCGTGTGGTCGTGGACGTGCTCCAGCACCGCGTAGCCGAAGAAGGAGCCGGCGGGCCCCTGGAAGCGCACGGGGCGCTGCGGGTCGAGGCTGTAGGCGTCGGCGGGCGGCCCCGCGGCCACGAGCGCCAGCAGCAGCGCGCGGAGCCCCCCGGCGCCCCTCCGCGCCGCCGGGCCACCCATCCCCAGCCGTCCCCGGGCCGGGCGCCGAGCGCGAGGGCGCCGGGAACGCGGGGCCGCCGACGGCCGGGGGGCTCCGGGGCGGGACTGCGCTCCGAGGCCGGCGGGCAGCGGCGCCGGGCGGGGACGGCGGGCGGGCGGGCGGGCGCCGAGGCCGAACGCAGGGCGGCAGGCGGCGGGCGGCGGGCGGCGGGCGGCGGCCGGGAGGTCTGCGCGCCCCGAGCGAGCGGTCCCGGCCCGGGCGGCGCTGGACTGCGGGGAGGCGCGCCCGCGGGGTGGGCGGCCCGGGCCGGCGGGGGGACGGCGGGGCACGGCGGGGGGACGGCGCCCTCTGCCGACCGCCCGGCGGCCCGCGACCGCCGCGGCCCCGCCCCCTGCGGGCCTCGCACCCCAGCGGGCGCCGGAGGACGCGGAAGGACTGCGGGTGCGCTCCCGCCTGCGCTCCGCCTGCGCCCCCGCCCGGCCCGCGCGCCGCGCCTCGGCAGCCTGTCAGCCTAGGCGGGGAGCGGGCCCAGCCAGCGCCAGCCCCCAGCCCCCAGCCTCCAGCCAGCGCCAGCCCCCAGCCCCCAGCCCTCAGCCTCCAGCCCCCAGCCCCAGCCCCAGCCCCCAGCCCCCAGCCCCCAGCCCCAGCCTCCAGCCCCCAGCCCCCAGCCCCCAGCCCCCAGCCCCCAGCCAGCGCCAGCCCTCAGTCCCCAGCCCCCAGCCCCCAGCCCTCAGTCCCCAGCCCCCAGCCCTCAGCCCCCAGCCCTCAGTCCCCAGCCCCCAGCCCCCAGCCCCCAGCCCCCAGCCCTCAGCCCTCAGTCCCCAGCCCCCAGCCCCCAGCCCCCAGCCCCCAGCCCGCCTCCTGCAGCGCCGGCCGCCAGCCTGGTCTCCCGCGCGAGCCTGCTGGAAATGCGCATCCGCAGGCCCCACCCGGACCTGATGAACCAGAAGCCCCGAGGTTGGGGCGCTCGGGGAGCGGGGCTCAGTGGCGGCTCCGGTTGTGATGCGCTGGCCCAGGGAGTCCCGCACCGGGGTCCCCGCAGGGAGCCTGCCTCTCCCTCTGCCTAGGTCTCTGCCTCTCTCTGTGTGTGTCTCATGAATAAATAAACACATAAATCTCAAAAAAAAAAAAAAAAAAAAAAACCACGAAGAAGCTCTGAGGGTGTGTGGGGAGTCAGGTGTTACTGTGATAAAATATGCACAACATGAACCTGACCATCGTAGCCGTCTTTAAGTGTACAAGCTTAATGGCATCAAGTACACTTAGGTTGTTGCGCACCCACCACCACTCATCTCTAGAACTTTCCTGTCTTGCAAAACTGAAACTCTACATCCATCAAACACTAACTCCCCAATCCTCCCCTCCCCCAGTCCTTGGCAACCATCATTCCACTTTCTGTCTTTGAACTGGACTGCTCTTTGAACAGGACTTCATATGAGGGGAATCATATGCGGCTGGCTTACTCCACTTAGCAAAATGCCCTCAAGGTTCACCTATGTTGGAGCAGGTGTCAGTACTTCCTTCCTTTTTAGGGCTGAATAATATTGTACATACATGTTTTCTTTATACATTGATCCTTTGATGGACTCTTGGGTTGGTTCCACCCTCTGGCTATTGTGAATATGTGAATAATACTGCTATGAATGTAAGGGTACAGTTACCTGTTTGAGATAATCGCCGTCAGGTCTTTAAGGTATATATGCCCCTGAAGTAGGATTGTTGTATCATATAGCAGTTCTGTATTTAATTTTTTAAGGACTACCATAATGTTTTCTACAACAGCTGCATCATTTTCCATCCCACAGACAGTGCACGAAATTCTACTATCTCTATGTGCTCTTAACACTTATTATATTCTGGGGGTTTCTCTCTCTCTCTCTCTCTCTCTCTCTCTCTCTATATATATATATATATATATATATATATATATATTATATATATTTATATATACCCATACACAGACAAATATATACAGTGACATATACACCTCACATCCTATTCTATAGATACATAGATATAGATACACACACACACAAAAAAAATAATCCCATGTCCCAGATAGCAAGTACCTAAACTCAAAAAAGCAGCACAATTAAACAGAGAAAGGTTATTTCTGCCTCATTTCCCCAAGCTTGTTTCTCTATGTGAGCTGCCCAGACTCACCAATGGTGCTCCTGGCCACACAGTCACCTAAGATAAGAGCCTAACACAAAGTCCTATATCTATTTCTCTCCCACCCCCTATCCAACCAGTCCTGTTTATTCCACCTCCTCAAACTCTTAAATCTATCAACTCATTCTCATCTCTGCTGCCTAGGCTTCGAGTCAAGCCCTTGCTTTCCTTGACCACAGTGTCATAATTATTATCGTTTTTATTTCTACAGTATCCATAGGGATGTCCCTCATTTCATGCATCTTATAGGTAACTTGTGTTTTATTTGTCTTGGTGAGAGTTATTAATTTTATTAATCTTTTTAAAGAAGATTTCCTTCTTTACTGTTTCTTCTAATTTCTTTGGATTTAATTTGCAATACTTTTTTCTAGCTCCTTGAGATAGATACTCAGATATTTAGCCTTACTATTTTTCTAATTCTTTTCTAATATATACATTTTATAATATATGAATATATGATATATATTATATATAAATATCTATACACACACACAAATTTCCTTCTAGGCACTATCTGACCTGCATCCTATAAGTTCTGCCAATATATTGTATTGTCATTATCGATCAGTTCAAAATTTGTATGTATGTATGTATTTATTTATTTGAGAGAGAGAGAATCTTAAGCAGGATTCATGCCCAGCACAGAGCCCAATGCAGGGCTTGATCTCACAACAGTGAGATCATGACCTGAGTCAAAATCAAGAGTAGGTCCCTTAACCAACTGAGCCACTCAGTTTGTTTTTCCTAAAATATTTTCTAATTGTTGTTGAGTTCTCCTTGGTCCATGGAATATATAGAAATATATTCTTTAACTTTCAAGTTTGGGGAGTTGTTTTTTTTTTTTTTTTTTTTTTTTACTGATTTCTTTTTATTTTTTAAAAAAGAAGTATTTATTTTAAGAAAGAGTGCCTGTGGGGGGGCAGAGGGAGAGGGAGAGAATCTCAAGCAGACTCCCCACTGAGTAAGGAGCCCCACTAGGGGCTCCATCCCACAACCCTGAGACCATGACCTGAACTGAAATCATGAGTCTGAGACTTAACCAACTGAGCCACCCAGATACTCCTTGTTACTGATTTCTTAATTCCATTATGGTTGTAAAACATATTTTGTATGTTTTCAATTCTTTGAAATTCATCAAGATATACTTTATGACCCAGCATATGGTCAATTTGGTGAATGTTTCATGGGCACTTGAAAAAAATGTAGGGACATCTGACTGGCTCAGCCAGTAGAGTGTGTGACTTGACCTTGGAGTTGTGAGTTCCAGCCCCACATTGGGTATGGAGATTAGTTAAAAATAAAGTCTTAAAAAAAAAAAAAAAGAATGTAGAACACATTGTTGGAACTATTGTTCTATGTATGTCAGGTCAATTTTGTAAAATCATGTAGATCAAAATTTATATATCCCTATTGATATTTCTTTGCTTATTCTATGAGTGACTTGATGAGATATATTAAAATCTCTATCTATGGGGATCCCAGGGTGGCTCAGCGGTTTAGCGCCTGCCTTTGACCCAAGGCGTGATCCCGGAGTCCTGGGATCGAGTCCCGCATCAGGTTCCTGACATGGAGCCTGCTTCTCCCTCTGCCTGTGTCTCTGTCCCTCTCTCTCTATCTATGTCGATCATGAATAAATAAATAAACAAAATCTTTAAAAAAAAATCTCTATCTATGATGATGAATTTTCTAATTTAGTTCTGTTGGGTTTTTCCTCTATAATTTAGGGCTTGTTTTTAGATACAGATATATGGTTCATACTGAATTGGCTCTTTTATTGTCAATGAAGTGTGACTACACTATTATGGTTTCTCTACATGTGCTCTCTTCTTTTTTACCTTTCCCCCCTACAACAGAGATAAGATAATGGTTTGAAAACTTCTGTTGCCTCCCCCTTCCCACAGGTTGGAGCCAATGCTCCATAGCAAGACTGAAGTAGGGTGGGTGTCCCTACCCTTGTTTCCAGGCCCATTTGTGCCCCTTTTCTGCCTCACTGCCAGGAACCCTCCAAAGCACTGACACTCAACATCTGTCTGTTCCCTAAATGCATCCAACAGGGGTTTTCAGACATCTGTGCATTCTCCAAAGCTGTTCCTTCTTCCTGAAATGTTCCACCCTCTTATCCAACTGGCAAAGTCCCACCCATCCTAATATTCTGGTTCAGTTCTTGCCTCACTCTTTATGTGACTCTTCCTCTGCCCCTTTCTCCGCTGAGCTCCCACAGCAGTGTTCACATGCCTGTATCTCAACACTTACAATATTATAATCTTTTTCTTTTTGGCTCTCTGTTCCTTCTAGACTGCAAGATTCTCTACAGAAAAAAAAGTATCTTGGGGTGCCTAGGGTGGTTCAGTCAGTTAAGCATCTGCCTTCAGCTCAGGTCATGATTCCAGGGTCCTGGGATTGAGCCCTGCATCAGGTTCCCTGCTCAGTGGGGAGTCTGCTTGTCCTTCTTTTTCTGCCCCTCCACCCCCACTCATGTTCTTTTTCTCATTCTGCTGTCTCAAATAAATAAATCAAATCTTGAAAAAAGAAGAATATCTTAATTCTCTTTGTATCCCCAAGGCCCAGCTCAGTGCCAGACATAGGTAGATGCTTAAACATTGTTGAAAAACAAACGAACTGCTTGAGGAAAAGCAAGATGAGTAAAATGATAAAGCCTTTGGGACATCTGGGTGGCTCAACTGGTTGACCATTGACTTGATTTCAGCTCAGGTCATGATCTCGGGGTGGTGATCTCAGGGTTGTAAGATTGAGCCCTCCCACCCCCCCATCCCCATCCCCACCTATCACCACCCCCAATTACACACACACACACACACACACACACCACCTCCAGCCCTGCACTGGGCTCGATGCTTTGGGGAGTCTGCTTCTCTCACTCTCCCTCTCCCTTTAATTAAAAAAAAAAAAAAGAAGAT